TAAAATAAACTACTCCAGCCACGCACGTGCCATGGTTCATTCAGATGCCCGTTGCATTACACACTAGATACCTGGGTAAAGTATGTTAAAATATTGAGATTGGTGATATTGGTGATATTGTCAAATGCACACCCCATCAGAACACTTATTCAATCAATTCGCGTTTATCACTTTGATTTCTTTTGATTTATAAGCATGAATCCAAAGAGTCGGTCAACTCTATCTTGCAGCCATCCCACCATTCTTCAATTTGTTCCGCGCCTCCGCTCTGTCGTCACTTGCAAGCATCACAATGCATCGTCTCGAAAGCGGTTTAGTCGCCTGCAACACCCATGCGTGGGCGGCTGACAAGTATCATCTTTCAATAACTGTCAAAGACTTTTGCATGAGGTGAAGTCTATACCTAGCAAGGAATGCCGTGTAATAATCGCTGTTCTTGCAGGCTTTGTCGCAAGTCCAACACAATTGACATCCTTCCAATCATTGCGGGGTCGTACCTGACAAGGTCGTCGAATTGATGGATAACTTTATCACCAAAGATAATGCCAAAATTTGGGAAAATTCGGCGTCTCAAGCTATCTCGGAACAAACCCAAGCTTCAATCGAGAATGGAGCGACGATGGGCGAATCTTCCGCTGCATGGCTTTCTGAGAGAGATAGTGGGATACTTAATGCTACCGCACGGGAAAGTGGCATGACAAAGACCGATGAAGATGAAGTTCAACTGATGAAGGAGAAATTTCCGGGACTTGGGCGGTTTTTTGCCGACAATCATCGCAAGCCAACACCTGGTAACCTTTTTTGGGAACAGTTGAAGCCATCAAATGACTGGCTGCGACATGTAGAGAATACCCGGGATTGCGAAGTCGATCTCACATCAAAGACTGACATGGCTCTAAGAAATTCAAAAAAATCACAGAAAGTATTGGACAACCGTCAAAACCAAAAGGTCCCGGCAACACAAGCCGAAGAACAAGACGTTAGTGAAAGCATTCTTGAGAGGGGCGCACTTGATCCAAAAGAAACGGTGTCTACTACCAAAAGATTTCCCTTACGGAATGAAAGATTGTGGAAGGCGTACAAACGCCCCTATCGTCACTTAGACGACCTCCTGGCAGCAAACCCCGACATACCATCAGGCGCTTCCATACTTGGCTTGCTTCATTTGGCGGAGTACTCGATCAAGCAAGCAGATACGTTTCTCGATAACTTAGAACGGCCAGATCTAGCTCTGGAGAAGTGGGTCACAGTGAATATCATAATGAGCAATACTATCCCCCATAGCGATGGCTACGACTCATTCAGGAGTGATCCCAGGCTTCTGACCAGGTATAAAATGTTGAAAAAATGGCTCATAGACAAAGACTCAACATTTGGAGAAGCCAAAAACGTTATCAGGGGCGACAATTGTAAAAATGGCGTTCAATCCTTGTTAGCACAATCAGTGAGCTGTGCAGACAGAGATAACAAAGCAGTCCCAATCAATGGTGAAGAAGAAAGATGGCAGAAACAAGACCACATCAAATGTGAGAAACAGGCAGCTGTAGCTTCAGCATTGTCCGATGCTAACGTTTGTAAAATTTCGAGCGAAAATAATATTCCTACAATGCATAGTCAGCCTTCTTCCTTCCAATTCTCAGACGATTTTACAATATCCTACCCATGCCATATTAGAACATGTCCAGAGCATCAAAGTGGCTTCCCCTCTCAGCAAATACTCATGGAACACTATGTCCATTCCCACGGTGAAGCTTATCATCTTTGCGACTATCCTTCATGTCAATCACAAATAGGTACTGCCAGTGCATTAGGGTCCAAGTTCCGTTTCCTTCGGTCAGATTTTCGAGCGTCGAAGATAAATTACAGAACCCACCTCCGAGATTTCCACAAAGAAGACATCGGATTATCTTCAAGGTTGTCGACGGAAGAAATAGAGGGCCTAGGTACTTGCAGGTTCGAGGCAGAATGGTGGAGATGCCAAAGCTGCTTGAAAAAGGTAGTCGTGGGGAGCGAAGGATATAGTTGCAAATCTTGCAAAACTATCTGCGAACCGGCAAGAATTTTGGCGAGGAAGACGAGATTTGGGTTTGGCGGCTTGATTGGTAGTGAAAGATCGATCTCTAGTCCAAACGGAGCTATACTCCGTCAAGCTTCCTATCTTTCAGGCGATTTGGATGTCTCGGATGAGCCGAAAACTGTTGTTTGTGGGGAAACTTGGGGTTCCGAGGATTCTGCGATCCCGTGTTCTTCTGATCCACCGCCTACACTATCACCTGCAATAAAACACCCGATACCCAAACTTGAAATGGCAAGGCAAGGAAGATCGACCGAAAATATCGCATCAGAGCGGAGCATTTTTGTTACAGAAGCTATATCTGAAAAGGATCAAGGCGGCAGCTTATATGACTTTAAAGTCTGCCCATTGCCCGGGATCCCTCATCAAGATGTCATCATTGAATATACTCACGAAGAATATACCAGCAATAAAGTAGTTCCACTCACTACAATCAAACAATTAGGACACGGATCTCTTGGAATCGTTGATGCAGTTCGTTTCAATGACAGAGATCATAGTGGTTTGATTGCTCGGAAAATCATTCGTCTCCCCAACTTCTCGCGAAAAAGACTATTACCTCTGATCCGGCAAGAGGTGGCAGTTCTTCGGGGTCTCTCTCATCACCATATCGTCAAGGTTATCAGCACTTATGAGACGATCAAAGCTCCTCGGCAATTTGGAATTCTCATATCTCCAGCTGGTGACGAAGATCTAGGCCATTTTCTTGAACGAGTTAGTGACAGTGATTTTCCAGAAGAAGATATGAAGCTCCTTAGTGGCTGGCAATTTTGCCTTGCTTCTGCGGTATCGTATATTCATTCTCAGAATATCAGACACAAGGATATCAAGCCAAATAATATAATTTGCAAGGGCGATCAAGTCTATTTGACTGATTTCGGATCCGCCCACCAGTTCAGTGCAGGTGTCACAAGTTCAACGGAAGGCCCTTTAGTAGGCATCACGAAAATGTACAGTGCCCCCGAAGTAATTTCAGATGATCGAAGGGGCCGGCCTGCTGATATTTACTCCCTGGGATGTGTTTTTGCAGAGATGGCTACTGTGGCTGATGGCGAACGCATCGAGGACTTTCATGAATACAGAAGCCAGCCAATACCAGATGATCCTGATAGAATGACCTACGTTTATCATGCGACTTCACATATGATAGGGCCATGGTTTAACGAGTTAGGAGATTTATGGATGGCCTCACTCCTTCAAAATATGCTGGCTTTTGATCAAAAATGTCGCCCGATAGCTGACGTTCTTGTTGAAAATCTATTACAGCATTATGGGCCCCCTAGTTGCTCGTGTCAAATATAGTCTTTCTCGATATCCCGACCGTAAGTGCATGATGTCTTAGCTCCCAGAGATATGGTTCTCGGGGATTTATTGATCGACACCTTCGCCATAAATACCTTTCTGGGAATCTGTTCCCCAGTCGGGATTCAAATCATAGCCTCAGGAGAAAGTGGGCTATATTAATTAGAACAATCATTTCTATTTAATTGCCTCTTTGGAATTTCGGGAAAGAATTGACAAGGAGTCTCAACAAGACACTGAGATAGAAGCAGTGTACCAGGCAAACCCATGAAAAGAAACGAGAATGAGGGATTATCAGAGAAAAGACGATCGAAGCAAATTTCGAAAAAGGTTTTGGCAAGTTCATATTTCATGTCTATTGTGGACTTGTGGACAAGAAGCCAATCAATGAATGCTTTGGAGATATCATTTGTTTTATTCCGAGCTCTGGAACTTGAAATTGACCCGATCCAGACATATTTCTCGTTGGCTGTTTAGATTGCATCACACCATGGCAATGGTAATCCTTAGAGGCTGCAATGTTGCACCTGCGATCTATTAATCTTGTTTCAGATCCGTTACTTTACTTGCGATGTTGGGTTCAATGTGCTGGAAGATAAAGGCGTTCTCTTCATGAAAGATCGGACGGCTTAACCAGGACACGAACAACGATGGTTTTCGCGGGTTCAATCCATTGTCATCCAATCTCTCTACATCCGCAAAAACAATTCATATCACTTACAATAGCTTCATTGGCAGATCCCGATCCTTCAATGCTATCCAAATTTTTACATCATTTATATTACCATTCGTTTTGACTTGCCACAAATAGTATTCCGGGATCTTGAGAGGCTTGATGGTACAATGGCTATCTCATTCGCAAATGGCTGGACTGAACGCATGGAACAATAGAGATGATATTCTTGATATGCAGCTGTTTGTTATGTCTGCAGTGATCGCCCCAAGCTTAATATCATATATCAGACATGAAAGATTAAACATGGGATGTCTCTACGAGTGGTTCGTAGATCAACTGATATCAAAGGAGCCATGTCTAATGATCAGATTAGAACGTCTTATTTGTTGGATCACAGATACCTTTTCTTGAACTCGATTGGTTCTGAGGCACCAGGTTGCTTTAAGAGATATGTGCATGTTCTCTACCCCGCCAATCCAGTGGTTAGAGATCCTGATATGACTACATGGACATGAGATACTGGTATCCCAAGCAAGGCAAAGACTAGTTGAGCAACATGTTGATTTGGAATTGCAATCAGATGATTGTGATGAGCACACTCTGGGAACAGATTATTCCTCTTGTCCTCGGAATATCAGCAAACACATGGCAGCTTCGATCTGATCTGTAGTCTTAAGAAATAAACTGTTCTATCTGCGCATTCTATTTATCTTGTTTGTTCGCTTCTATATTTCCTATCTCTACATTTGGCCTTGACGCTGTAAAACATGTTTTAAGCTAATGTAATTCATGGCACATCCATACCTAAACCCGATTGTTTTCCATTTGGAACTTGTAGTTGACGTGCTTCTCTCCAAACTGTATTTCTTCAAGCCCGTCAACTAACAACGGAGAATTTGTTTCTGATTCTATGTTTTGTTTTTTGGCCACGAGCCCGTGTTCGATTCTCTAGAGAGCTGCGTGGTCGCCGATAGACGTTGAACCGAAAGCATACTCTTCAGTTACTGAAGCAGGCGCCTTGATGTTGGTAGCCGATAATTGATTTTCCAATCTTCGAAGCTTAACAAATACCTCGGCGGCAGATCGATGGCCCCAGTTACTGGATGATTGATAACCAAGAGTATCGGTGTTCAGAATCATCTTTCTCGACTTGATCCCCCGGGCTTCCTACTTCTGGCCATACGAACAACTTCACATTCAATTGTGAGTTCATCCTGAAACTCGGTCATTAGCAAGCTTTTGGATAAAGGCGGAAACTTGTATACATTTTATCTATTGGACCTCATTGTTATATATAACTATATATCTTTCACCTTCTGCCATTTGTGATTCCATCTCAATTAAGACCTTTCTATCTTAACATCCTCTCACATACAAGCAATTTCTCACGATGTGGCTTTCAACTGCTATCCCTTTTACATTTTCATTATTGATTCTTCCTTCTCCAGTCAACGAGTATTGTACCTTCACACTCTATGCTTTTGTCGATGACAGCACCGCCAGTATCGCACATCTGACCCAGCACAATTCACTGTTATCTCATGATCTTCTTCCTTGAAATTTTTGACTAATAATTACTCGAGTGCTCTATAAGAGGCTGTGCTTCTGCTTTTAGTCCCTAGATGGCTTGTGTAAAGCAGGATAGTCTCTCGTTATCTCATGCGGCGCAAGAAACTTCACATACACGAATGGGACTGTTACTTTCACGAGCGATTTGACCTTGAGAGATACGGGATTCCTGGCCGATTGTGAGGAAAGCGGCTTCGTTACTTGACTAGATGGTTATACAAACGGGGGCTCTTAAGAGTGACACAGAATGATGAAAGGATTCGAGGGAAAGTGGTTGTATCGGCCGTTGGTAAGCTTGGATGGTGATAAAGATGAAAATATAAATTATATATGTTTTTGACGAAAAACCTGTTGATTATGAAGAATGAGCTCGTAGCCTTTAGAAACGAACAACTATCATCTCACAATTGTTCTTCTGTTCTTACTACTTGACAGCGTCTTGGAACTCAAAAAATTACAAACAATCCGAACACCCCGCACCTTACCCGAGTAAAACACCAAGCCCCTCACGTACCCCACATAGTGCAGCAAATTTTCCCTGCATGTTTCTTCGCATTATAGGATACAATAGAACACTTTTTTGCATCGTGAATTTCATAGGACAGATGGCCGAGTGGTTATGGCGTGTGACTCAAGTTTAATAACTTAGTTGATTCAATCAATTTGCATTCTCATGGGCTTAGCCCGCGGGGGTTCGAATCCCCCTCTGTTCACTTTTGATCGGAGTTTTCCGAGCAGTATTTTTTACAATCCACCACCGACGCACTTATATGCCTGAAACTAAGTTTTGGAAAATATAAGATATTTTTTTTGTTAATTTGTTTTCTGTTGTTATTCTTGGAATTTTTAATTACTTTTTTGTAGTAAGACTATTTCTTTATTTATTAATCACTATTTAAAATTTTAATATTTCTCTTTTGATTTAATTTTAATTGAAAATATTTATCCTTTATATTCTTAAAATTGCGTCAAGGGAATATAATTTTCGGATTATGAATTTATGAAGGTTCTTTTCTCGTTTTAATTTTAAGATCTGGAATTCTCTATTTATTGCGGAAGAAATGCCTGTATAAACCCAATTAACCTAAGGCTATTTAGTAGCGTCACTTTTAGCGTAATACTATTACTATTTTTTTTTCTCTACATATTAAAGTTTTTATTTATAGTTTTATTATAGTTCATTTAGAGATAGGATATATGTATATATATCGGGATTATTTTTTCTTCTTTTTATCTTTATAACCCTGTAATATTTATTATCACGTATTTTAAAAATGTATTTTGTTTTAGTTAAAATTGTATTATTATTGAGAATAGATTTAAATATCAGGTTTATGGTTTCTAAAGAATTTAGTATAGAATATAAGTAAATAAATAGATGTTATAGAAATTACTGTCTTATATAACACTATGTGATTAAGTCTAGTACTCCTTTGGAGTATCTATTTATATGATTATAAAATACTCTTTTGGTATCAATATTAATAAGTCCTATTAATCCAATTAAGTAACTTTATTATTTGATTTAGGTATATAAGATAGATATAATCCTTATAATTATATCTTAAGTTATATTAGTTTAATATTATTATATATACCTACTTCCTAATCAAGGTGACTAAATAATATAGCTATTCTCCGTGATAACAGAATTGCTTTATAAATTTATATAATAACTTTAAAATATAATGTGGTTTAATACTGAATATATTATATCACTAAGTATACTACTTCAAAATACACCTAAATTAATCGTTTTTCAATATTTATATTTTAATAACAAATTGTTATTTTAATTAAAAAAATATATATTGAATAATAATAAAACATAAAGTATTCAGAAATTCAATTTTTATATAAATATTCCTATTACATTTATAGAAAAATCGAGTTTGTTATAATTTCTATTATAAAAAAGCTTTTTTAATAATAATTCTTATTTTAATTCAAAATTTTAAAAAAATAATTCGATTTTTATATTATTTATATAAATAAATATAATAATTTTCTTAAAAAATCAATTTATAGTAATAAATAAAGGAAGTATATAGTTATATATAGATGTATTTTGTATATAAAATTCGTAGTATACTTAGTGATATAATATACTCAGTATTAAATCATGTTAAACTTTGTTTTATTTAAAGATTGAGAATCACAAATTTGATGAGTACTTCAGTAATCAAAGAGGTCTGTTAAATAAATAATATATGTATTATAATTTTTATGAAAAGAGATTCTATATTTATTCTAATATCACGAAGGATAGTTATATCACTTGATTACTTTAATAGGGAAACAGGTTATAATAGAGATAACAAACTAGATTAACTTGAGGTATGATTATAAGGATTAGATCTACTTTATATACCTTGATTAGGCGATATAAACACCTAATTAGGATACATCTTTAAGCTAATGTACAAGGAGTAGTATGTATTATGATTAATAGGCTAACGTGATTCATATACGAGCAGATTATATTACCGAATGAATCACTCAATTTATATACAAAATTCGTCTATATGTAACCGTGCACTTTATTTATTTATTAATAGAATTGTTAAAAAATTGGATATATAAAACTTGATTACAAATCTATTACAAAAATCTAATTTCTTTTCGAATATTCGAATTAATATGAGAGTTATTATAGAAATAGTTTTATAAAAATAAGATTTCTAAGAAACAAATTTTTGTTATTATTTTGTATCTTTTTATTTTTCAAAAATATTGATTGATTATTAAAATAGGAATATTGAAAATAGTCAATTTTGGTGTATTTTCAAGTGATCGATCCACCTAATAATATAATCTACTCGTATATGAATCACGTTATATCTTCTATAGATCATAAGATGTAAATCATGTAGTGTGTATAACATGGGGATTTTTGTGATATGTAATAATTTTAAAATTGATTATTAAAATGCGAGTTGTTATATATATAAAGCTTATATGAATATTATAAGTTTGTTTCTAAGTAAATTCATGTATTTTTCTTGTTTGAGTTTCGAATTCGAATTCGAATGTAAATTTAAACTTTTGACATTACAAGATAACTCAATTTTATGAAGTCGTGAATGCCTAATTTATTTAAAGAATGGTTTTTAAGTTTTTAAAGAAAATAAATTTTATATAAGAGAGTATATACAAGATGAAGAATTTGTATTATAATAAAGGATATTGAGAATTCAAAGCTTTTCATTAATTCTTGAAAATTCTATTTTCCTAAAGTTATATATATCTAAAAACTTCATAGTATAAGAGTAATAAGTAACCTGATGTCAACCCTACATCGATGCCCGTAACATCTTATACATTTATGAAATCAAACTAGCCGTCGGGGAAAAAGAATTTTCAGACTACAAATTCATAGAAGTTATTTTTCCTTATTGATTATCATAACAATTTTAGAATCCTATGAATTTATAAACTTCTTTTTTTTCTCTCTAATAACTAATATTAATATAATGTAATACATATGAGGACTAGCCCCTAAGCCCCCGATCCTTGCTATACTCGAGTTTTAATTAATAAATAATAGCAATTCTTACCATTTTTATATCACTTAGATTTATTAGATTTGTTAGATTTACTAGGTTTATTGGATTTACTAGATTTACTAGATTTACTAGATTTACTAGATTTACTAGATTTACTAGATTTACTAGATTTACTAGATTTATTAGATTTATTAGATTTATTAGATCTACTAGATTTACTGGATTTACTAAAGTTATTAGATTTATTAGAATTATAGTAGAATAGTAGAATAGTAATTTTATTTAAATATTATTTAGTTTTTTATCTAGTTTCTTATTCAATTTCTTTTTATAAACCCTCATATATAGATTCTAATTCATATTCTAACTCAGATTCTAATATTGAAAAACGTTTAAGGTAATTGTGTCTCGGGTATTCATATATAGATATCAATTTACGGGATTCAAATACATTGATATATCAAGAACAAAGAAACTACAAATGGAAATGAAAAAAGAGATTAGTTCGAAAATCACCTAAAAGTTTTTCAATGCTGTAGTGTTTGCCTCAATTGAACATTAATCGCTAAGAAAATGAGTTAGTTCAAGAATCAAATTAAACTAATGTTTTAGATTTTGAAGAATTGAAGAAATATAATAAGCAACTATGATCAAATTTAAGATACAAGATATACAAAGAAAAGGATGAAAACCCTTCATATTTTAGCTATATGAGCCAATTTTAATGTACATTTATAAATAGTTTTAATACTAAGATTTGATAGATCATTTAGGGAAGTTTTTAGAATATTTTTCGTAAGATATGTTAAGGAATCCTTCAAGAGATTTATTGAATTCAATAATTCTAAAGTAATAATCTCATGAAAATATTACATATAACGTGGTTTAATAATACATATATCATATTAGAAATAGTAATAATAACCCTCGATACAAAAATAAAGAGATCAACAAATATATAACTATATATCAAATTTAAATGAAATATGTAGAACTAAGATAGAAAAAGAAACGTAAAAGTATACTTCTATAGTATATTTACTTTACTGTATTTCTTATTCATCT